CAGCCAGTGATACAACCAAACAAATGGAGCAACAGAGATGGAAAACAACTAAACATGTATTGTCTTTATCTATCTATCTATCTATCTATCTATCTATCTATCTATCTATCTATCTATCTATCCCCTTTTACATACTGTCTTGGAGCCATGCACATGAGTATGTAGCCTCTTAAGTCTATCATTTAGTTGTGTTGGCTGTAAACAAACACGAGTCTACAGCTGCTCTAGCAGCTTTGTGATGTATTTAGGCACAGCAGTGCTTTGAGCTAAATGCTAAAGTGAACATGCTCTCAATGACAGTGCTAGCATACTGTTTAGCAGGTATAATGTTTACCCTGTTCACCATCATAGGTTAACACTTTTAGGATCCAAAAATGTGTTAATTAGATCTATATGCTACAGTATATATAATGTTATATTTACTTTAGGTGGGGTGCCTCAAAGAAAATAGACATTTTAAAAGTCTGTAACACAGAAGTGCATTTTCCTTGGACAGGTAAAAGTCATTACTGCAACATTGTGAAGTATTATATCATCTTGCCTTGCAGAATCTGAGGCATTTAGAAATATTCACTCTGTTCTTTCTCATAAAGAAGTCCATGGCTCTTCATATGTGGTTTTGTTAGTCATATGGTGAATATTTTCGATCTCATTCCTTTTATTTCTATTGCTGTATGACATATTTATAGAGGCATAATCCCAGCCAGGTTTTAAAATAAATTTCGATGCAAGAACCTCACAGATATTCTCACACATGTTTTCGTTACATAAGCACTGACAGTAAATATTGATTGACTGACTGAAAAAAAGTTGACACTGTCTTGCCTCTTGCTCTGACTGACAATCAGACAATCATAATCAGATTGATTATGTGCTGTTTGCCACCCACGAACACACGTTCACATACATGCACACACACACATCATGTTTTGCTAAAGTTCTCAAATGCCAGTAGTCATATTGTCTCTCTCTTTTTTTTTTTGTTTAGTATTTTTGAGTTTCCTGTTGGATTACTGCTTCATTAAAACAGAGCCTTAGTTACCATGGAAACATCTACCAAAAAGGGTAAACTGGCAATGTACTCATCTCTGTACGCTGTCAGTATACTGTCAGCAGG